ATTAGCTTGAAAAACCGCGACATCCGTCTGCGAATTATTTTTCGACTTTCTGAAGAAATATCCGGATATTGTGAAACAGGTGAAGAAGCGGAAAGAACGTGTTGCAATCTGCAAAGAGAGGATTGTAGAAAAAGAAGACGAACTCCACGAGATTGAAGCCAAAGTTGGAGAATTAGCCAGTATTATATTGTAAACCAAACATTTAATTTGCTACACGGGAGCAGGCATAAGTACTTCAGCGTTAAATCCCGATTATAGAGGCAGCAAAGGTATCTGGACGTTATTGTCTAAAGGAGAAGATATCGATGAGCACGATATATCAGTAGCTAATCCTACATTCAACACATATGGCTTTGTATGAAATAATTCTTTGTATTGTAATAATTCTCTCACTAACAAGAAACAACAAATTATTCGTTGTACTTTTACGTAAAAAACCTGAAAAACGCCTATATGTGAAGATTTAATTGAGAGGAAGCGAATTAGAATCTGTGGACAAATTAAAAATTTTGAGTGTTATTATTGACAGGAAAATTGGTTATTGACACCACATCGACGACATCTGTTCGAGAGTTTGTTTTACTCTTCGACGGCTGTACTAATATGTATTTGCCCTATCATGTAAGGTATAAAGTGGTCCAAGCACTGATGATGTCACAGATATCTTATTGTATGGAAGTATATTTAAGTACAATAGCTCATAATATTCATAAAATTAAGCTGTTGGCCAATAAAACTGCTAGATTTGTGTTCGACGTGAGACATCATAATTCTGTCTCTACTCAATATGAAAATCGACACTACAATCACATATCGCGGCATGTCAGTAACTTCTTAAAATGTTCTTTTGACAATTTTCTGACTATAAAATATCTCCCATGCTCATCACATATGTTTTCCTCCATCTTGCAGTGTAACTTTGGTATCGGAAGTTTTAATGTACCCGGACAACTAAAACATGCGTACCTTACTTCCATATTGAAAAGGGGCATGTTTGAAAATATGAAAGATATGTACCTGAGTCTAAAAGGAGAATTACACGCATGGAACTTCGAGGATCGCCGCCACTTACTCTTATGGTTAGAAGAGATTGAGTGTTTTGTCAATTTTCGGATACATAACCGTGAGCAAGCGCATTTCACACGTGAGGGAGAGTATTTATACGGTGTAGATTGCCGTTTACAATTTTATTTCTCCCGCTATGGCTACCGTAAACAGCACTATGCCATCTCACGAGCGCTTAGAAATTTAGACGAACAGTTCTTGTTTCCCTCCCGAGTACAGATGCGTGAATGGCCACAATTAGATATAAAATTAAATGATGAGGAAAACCTCTTTTTAGGCAATTGGCAATGTAAACGGCTGAACTCTAGACAGAAAAAAGCCGTAGCAAACATACTACGAGGAGAAGTTCACAACATGCCATACGTGATTTTCGGATCCTCTGGCATAGGAAAATGGGCAACGCTAATGGAAACTATTATTCAAATTTTTAAATTGATACCTAGTGCACGTCTGCTTGTAGGCACACCTTCCAATAGCTCTCCTGATTTAATAACGAGGCGTCTGATCGAATCCGATGTACCCAAAATGGGTGAGTTTATACGTCTAGTATCCCACAAGGAGCTCAAAGAAGAACATATACCAGCGTATTTGTGGCCGTATTGCCCAACAGGCGACAAATACTGGGATACTGACGTAGATTACAAATCTGGAGATGATATTTTTGTGACCAAGTCCGGACTCAAACTAAAATGTCCCAAAATTCACATAGAATTTAAATTTGATCCTCAATTCGATGTTGATTGCTTGACAAATCCGCAAATTTTAGCATTTTTTGTTCAGAAATTTCAGAAATGATTGTTGAGAAGGGAACTCATCACAGCTCGGTTCAAATTACATGCGCGAGGCAACATTAAAATATTTTTTGCGGTTTGATGATCAAATTATTTATGCGTAAATAACCAGATAGTGATGTGGATATGTCCAAGAAATGTGTATTTTCTGTATCACTAGAACTCATTGAAAATTGTACCATAATGTACCATAATGTGTGTGCTAATAAAACCTTGAAGGTCATTTACCAAATATACCATTTTGCCACGTAACCATATGCAGGATGCTCTGAACCGAGCATTTAATTTCTATATCCATCACCGAAGGGTGAGGGGTACTCTCCATCTGTCGCTCTATTAATCTGTCTGACAACTTTGTAATATCTGCAGTTGGCGAAAATGAAGACATCGCCTACAAATTTGTAAAAGAATTTTAAAATAGCCAAAGCCATTCGAAGAACACAGCTGCAATGCCTACACGCCTATGCGACAAGAACAAGGAACAAGGTCTTTTCTTTCCGAATTTTTATTGAAGGCAAGTGCTTTTAATAACGAAGAGTTACATGTTGCCCATCTCAAGCAGTTGGTTTCTTTTGTCAAAACTGCTGATTTTGCTTTTAATTTCACTTTGTCCTCTGTTTTTTCTCACTTGCAAACAAATTCAGACTGACTTGTGAATAATTGTAAATAAATATAGACGCTTACTCTCAGATGCTCGAGAAATTTATACATGCAACAGCTGTTAATAAACAAATATATATATATATATATATATATTATTTACGAATTGGCTGCTATAAAGGAAAGTGAGCGGAAAAAAATTTATATACTTATCGTACTTTAAACACACAGGAATAACTTATAACTACGTGTACGACCAAAACAAGCCGCGTGACTTTGGCCCTTACAATACGTATTGGTTAACCAGATTGCTTGTCTTTATCGAAAGCAGTGATGATTTGCTGATGGCAAGCAATTCAACAAAAGTTGAGGAAAGTTCTCCCAACATTCTGAATATGTGTCTCGCATAGATATTTCAATACTGAGTAGCTGGACGCATTACATCCGGCACATTCATCCATATCATAATCATTGTTGTAATAAGCAACAATTTTCTCTTGGCATAGAAGCTCACACAAGAACGACTGGCATTTCGCTTAGTGGTAGATATCGATTCTATGATGTTCATAAATTTATTGTTAACAACTTGAAGAGATATTGACAAAAGTAAAGAAGCACAGGTTCGTAAATTAAACGTCACAAAAAACTGTCGAACAATGAAAAAAGACTTTGTGATCAAAAAATAATTTTATTTTCCTAAAATGAACTAAAAAACAAGCTTAAGAGAAAAAGCAGAAAGAGGAAAAACGTATTCCATTAGGGAAAAGTGCTTTGAACTTTTTCCTTGTTTGCTGTTTTTCTTTTGTTTTACTTCTGTTTTTTACGTATTTTCCGCAGTCAAAAAGTCTTTGATTGCAAATTGTAAAGGGGTGCTTCAGAAAAACTAATATGAAACCAGTTACTTATCAGTCAAACTTGTTTATTTATAAAGAACAGCCGTATTTACGTAAGCTTGCTCTGATGAATTTTTTCAATTTTGGAAGGAACAATTTTTTGAGGATGAAAATATATAAATTTTTTTTTAAGTGTATACCACTTGTATTTCTATGCGTGTGTACATATGCGCTCGTATCGGTACTTTCAGTGCAGATGCATCAGTTTTAAAGGTATTTTCTGGATGCTTTGCTATATCAAATATTTTTGATATTATTTTTTGTTATCCATTTTAAGCACACTCATCATGTCGACATAAATTCTAAGGAGCACATATTTGCGTACATATAGATATTTGCAAGCGCAGGCAAAGCTCTGCTTTGATGCTGAGTGAATTACTTGGCCTTGGCCATCAAGAGTATTTAATAACGTTACAATAATGAACACGTAGTGTTAAAAATAATTGCTAGAAATGCACTTTGCGAAGTTGTGCACGTTCTATGACGACAAGTCAGTCTTTCAGTTTAAAGCGAATTTTGAGTACTATCCACATAAAGTTAAGAAGCCGGAAATTCTTTAGTTTATACTAATTTTTGAATCGAGATTTGCCCGAAAAAAGCGTAGTTTAGCCGTTATGGCCGTTTAGGAGCTGTTAATGACAATAAATTATTGACAAAATTCTAATTTTTCTCATCAACTTAATTTTTCAAGTGCTTATGAAAAGTCATTTCGTGCATTATACTTTTATTTATGGAATATAAGCAAAGAAGAACCTGATAATCAACGGTTGTAGTCTTATTACAGTAATCACAAAAGGGAATTTCATTTCGCTGCGTAATTGAATGAATAATTGACACAGTGGTTGAGTACTACCCGCTAGATTGCAGCTCGTGATCACATACGAACAGATGCGAATTAAAACAACAGCGTCATTGTAAATTGTTTAAAAAATACTTTTAGGTAGATTAAGCGTTTACTATTCAAAAAAATAATTTATACGGCGAATAGAGCGGGAAATGTATGACTACAATGGAACGAGCGTCGAAAGAAATATGTAAAAAGACAACGTTAAACCTTAAGCCTAAGAGCTTAAGAGCGTTTTAAGAAACGCATTTGAATGTCCCGAAATTATATTTCTCAGAGATAGATTACACGAGTTGTACCAAGTGCAATGGCCCAAAGGTGAGGTATAAAAAAGATTGATTTTGTCTTTCCTTTTTCTCTTCGATGGAGAAGTAAAGCAACTCTTCGATGAAGAAGTAAAGAATGACAATCTTTCTTTACAGGATTAACTGGTATGGTACAGCGACCCCAGTTGATCACACCTTTTATTGTATTTCCAAATACTATATATCAAAATAATCAAACTTTGGCATGAAGGGTACAAAGATATATTATCAAGTTTCGCTTGCGGATGTGAACCATATTTCAATCTTCTCTTTCTTTTGTAACATGGAGTTTTATTGAAGCAGATCGATAAAGAGAGAGACTCGCTAATTGAAAATAAGTCAGTATTAGTTTTCAGTAATATTTTGCGATAAAGGGAATTCCCGAAACTTGCCGATGGGAAAGTAAAAAACATGGGTGACCAGGGCTTCGAGAGAGAAACGAAGTTCTTCGTACCATTCAAATTGAGACAACACTAAACCACTGAAGTTCATAGGAATATTTAATTGAAATTGTTTCTTGACCAGAGCAGTCGATTTACACATATTCGTTTCATTGTTTGTCATAGCTATGGTTAACTAACTTTATGTAGAAGAACAAACTCAATATCAAATCCTTGCATTAATTGGACTTTGTTTTAATTTTGTTTTAAAATTTTGAGTATTCCCAATGTCTGTATTGCCCATTTCCCTGTGTTTACATAAGGTGTAATAGCCCTAGTGTAAACCTCTCGCTCATAGAGTTTAGAAAATACTGCACGTCGATCAATGTTGCGTGGACATATTTGTGTGTGTGTGTGTTGGTATGGGACTGCTTTATACAAGTATTCAACAAGTGATAAAATTAAATATTTATTAAATTATTTTTTAATATTTTACTTTTGCTCCCTGCTTCTCAGTTTTCTCTGTGGAATAAGCACGACATATTCAGAATCGTTAAAGAATTTTGATGAGCCTTTTTTTTTAATGATTTTATGGCCTCGGCGTTTAATTGAATTTTTTCTCTCTTTTGCGTTCAAAATATTTGCCATTAATGGTATATTTATGAATATTAAGTTATGGCCTCTACCGGTGTGCGTACCTTAGCGGTCATCTGTGCTTGATAGAGTAAATTTATTGTATATTCCTTTTGCGTTCTCTTTCATAGGTAAGTAAGTGTGCGTAAGTACGTTAATTCTGTTTACTGAGGTGAATTAAATTGAACTCGTTTATTATTCTTTCCTCTTTGTTTGTCTCGTTCTTTGCCCCACTTCACACAACGGATAATGTTGCAATTTTAAGGAAATTGTACCTTTTACCTTTAGGTCGTCTAGAGTGGCTGTAGTGTGCAAGCGAAAATTGACAAAAATTTTTGCTAGCATAATTTTCATCAGCAACAGAGCATAACGATAACCGATACACATACGCAATCCCTTAGTAAAGGGTACAAAGGCAAACGATTGTTCATGATTGAGTGCGTTATTACAAAAATGCTCTTCAGGGCGGAACTGTTTAGCATTTGGTCCCCAAATTTGAATGCTGCGTTGCATATTATAAATGTCGATAGCGATTTGTGTACCCTCAGGTATAAGTACACCGTTAGTTAGGCGAAAATCACCGGATGCCCGTCGCAACACTATAGGCACAGGAGCAAAGAGACGCATAGCCTCATTAATTACCATTTCCGTGTACTGCATACGCTCCAGTTGCTCTATTGTTATATCATCAAGTATTAACTGATGTCCGTTATCGAACTTTTTGTTGGTGTTCTCTTTGTTGCAGCTGCTGCTTAATGATGATTGTTTGTTATCCATTATGTTTCCCTTAATAGTTTTTGGTTGATTATCATGATTAACTGTAGAGAAAATTTCGTCAAGTTCATGATATAATTTTTCTTGACATTTGGGATGCATGGCCAAGCACAAGCATACTAAGTACAAAGCCGTTGAGGTAGTCTCAAAGGTCTGTGTAAAGAAAAAGAAATGCAAAATAAAAAATAATTTCATTTAATTTAGAGAAGAAAGAGAAATATCAGAAGAAGTCACGCAAGGTACCTAAAACTTAATTTCGTGTTGCGAGGTTAATGGGAAACTACAATTTTCGTTTTTTAAATCAATTATAAATTTATTTCCTTACCCGATACCAAGACCAGACTAGTAGAGATTATTAATAAAAGTCACAAAATGAGCGAAGAGACAGCGTAAGCAATTTATTGCGGGCAATGTGAACAAGGTATTCAAATTCTTGCAATCACACATAAGAAATTACGTCAGAAAGTTAAGCAAAATTTCTGAAAAACTGTGAATTTCATATAATGAAGGCTTCATTATTCCTAAGGGCTGCGAAAAAATTGGGCTATTGATTGTGAGGCGAAAAATTTGCAATTTATTTGGGGGGAAATCCCGAATCATGTTATCAGTTTCGCAAAGGTCGACTGTCGATGATGGAGCAAGGGTCCAAAAACAAGTCGTACAGAATTTTCAGAAAACTCATCATAAAAACAATCCCAAATTGTCTGTTAAAATCTATCGAATTTCACAAAGAACCGATTCGCCTCTATTGTGCGTCGTTAGGTAATAAAAGCAAAACATGAATAGTCTATGGTAGCAATCCGCGAAAAAGATGTAGGATGTTATGGCAAATCAAAGTTGAAGTAACCCAGGAAGATTACGTGAATTCCTATTGAAACATAGATATGTGGATACATATGGATAACCACGTTATTTTTCGTGAAAAATAAGTTGATACAAACAGCAAAGCTTACGGCTTCAAATGTTCGTGCCTAAAGAATAAATTCTTGCTCAAATGATTCTTTCCTTATACTGTCAAGTTAAGTTCAAAGTTAGCATGCGTCCGTGTAAGAATTTGTTCACTTCCTGCTCTACCGTACTTGCTTCGTCCCATTGCCTATAAGGCCATGTAGAAAAATTATATGATATGCGAAGTTTATCGAAACAGAAAATCTTTATATTATATTCAAATGATATACTACTGTGTCTAAAATGTTGATCCATTTAATTTTTCCTTTTTTACATCTAGTTATTATTCCAAATCTATATCGTCCCCTCCAAAGGAATCCTCAAATTCGACTAATATTGCTTATTAACAGTTTGGACCGGCGGAAGAAACGCTTAGTGCACACCACCACGATAATCGAAGAAGACTGTTAACATCACTTTTGGCTCGGTTTTCTCGCCATTGTCATGCCTTCTGCAGGATATTCGCTCGATCGATCGGTTGTTTCCGTGTCGTATGCGTGGGTCTATGTCTCATCTCTCGCCATAGTACGTTTCATGACAGACTGATGGTCAGATATCATTTCTTCACACGCATTGTAAAAATCGAAAAAAAATACCTTCCAAGTCCAGCTGAAACACTAACGATGTTTACTATGTAAAATTTGACTCAGATATCTGTTACAGTGTTATCAACTAAGAAAAAAATAATTTTGATATTCAACATACCCACGCAATTTAATTTGAATATTAGTTTTACTTGTTGACCACAGTGCTACGCAGAGAACATTGGAAAGCTCGACAAAGATCAAAATTCTAAGGGAAAAATTGCAAATGCACGCAAAAGTACGGCTGAGTTAAATAAACAGCGTTAGCAAAGTTGGTCTGGAAAATGCGTTGGAAGTTTTGTGTGCAAATCAGTTGAAGACATGAGAAATCAATAAGTAATCACAAAAAATTTGAGAAAACTTTAAGCAGAAACCTTGCTTACTTGAAAGCAATCGTGGATTAGCGGACAGTGATTTTGATTTGTATTGGAAACGGAGTAGTTTATAGTGATATTGAAAATGAATATAAAAAATTGGAATGGCTGAGTTAATACGTGATCCTTGTAGAAGATAAAAGCGCAATTAACTGACGATAGCAAGTGCTTTTCAATCTCTGCAAGCTATTTAAATAATGCCATCGTATTCACAATGTCATCATTCATTTAGCCGTACTTACCGCCGCCACAATAACGTTGGCTTCATCTCGTACCTCTTGCCATGTCAGTTGATTTAATTCAATGCAATTAAGCATTTTTTTAATAAAAGAAACTGCCTTTGATTTGCTAATGCTGTCACCGCCGTCATCAATGTGTTCAACACTGGTAGTATTTACGCCAGCAACTTTGAATTGGCTACTGACATTAGTAGCAGGTCTAATTTTACAATTGTCATTATTGTTGCTTTCGTTGTTGTTGCTGGTATGATGCAATGCTTTGGACGGCGTAGCTAATGGCAAAGACGGTTTGACGTCGCTAGTTTTAAGCTGCTGATGTTGTTGTTGTTGTTTTTGGTGTCCTTGTTGCAACATCTGCGAGAGAGGATGGGATGAGGGCATAAGCATCAAAGTATAAATATACACAGTTACGTAGATACGTTTTGCTTTTCAATTGAAATATGACTAACGTTCACTATTTTATATATACATGAAAACGAACATACACATATACCCGGGTATGACGACTTTTTTCCGTTTACTTACTTGCTCAACGAATTTGCGGAGATTACTAGCGGATTGTTGTTGCCGTTGAGAAAGTTTTGAACAATGATAGATGACATTCGGATACAGCCAGGGTGACAGCATTCTTTTAACGCACAGTTCAATTAAACTAAAAAGTATAAAGTACGTGGAGAGATGAGAAATAAAATAGGAAATAATGTAAATTAATATTGGTTGAAATTATTACGTAACTAATTGGCTGATGACGCCAGAACTTCTAAATGAATTCGCGTTAGGGTAACTATATGGATAGTTTACTTACCTATTGTAAGAATCGAATATGATTGAAGATGTTTCGTCATGTTGAAAATCCATTTTTTTACCCATTGTTGTTACTAAATAAAGAACGTACAAAATTACGTAGTAGAGGCCATGATAATTAGAAAAAATTAAAATCAAAACGATAAAGTATTAAAAATATTAAAATCTAAATATTATTGTTTAATCGAATCAATTTCTTTGATTTCATGTCTCATATTCGTGCGTTTTGCATTTCCGTTTCTTTGAACAAACCAATGAAATACGAACATAAAATCCGAGAGAACAAACGAGAGGTTTCAGCATTGTAAACGCTGGCATTCATTCAGCAAGCGGAGATTTCTCTTACACTGTATTAAGATCGGTGAAAAGGAACTGCATGTGCCGTCTTTACCTTGAAGTATAAAGTGCTGTTGGACATGCAACGCAAAATTGCTTTCGGAAAGGCTGCCGTAGTTTAAAGAGTTACTTGCATTCAAAGAAGAAACTCGATAGAATTCTGTTAACTTCAATTGCAGTTAGAGATGAAGATAAAGAACGCAAAGCTATAAAGTAATTACAAACGGATTGAGATGGGTTGATTAAAAATGAAAGGTGCTACTAACGGAGACAACTAAATGGCAAGATGTGCTAACGTTTTGTTCAATATGATAACTAAAAAAGTCTCAGCCATTAATGACAGACAAAGAACAAATTTTCTGATTGATAAAAAATTTGGCTCAGAAAAATATTTTCTTTGCGAATAAACCAAGAATGAACATTTCAATCAACAAGACTTTTTAATTTGTATACCATAGCGGATATTCCATCTTTATGCTCCGATGCACTATGTAAAGCAGACAAGCACACAAACGGCTACTAACACATTCAGATTAAGAGACTTTGACTTGGACTTTTTGCGTATCTGTTATCAATAACAGCAGTAACGCTGCCAATTGTATGCCTGCTCTGCCATTTATATTATTTACATGGCGACAGATTCTGTTAATATTATTATTATTATTATTATTATTATTAATTTCGCCAGAGAAATAAATTCTAAGACTAAACTCTTAAAAGCACTAGCATCTAAGGCTATCGGCTTTCTGTTAATATTATTTAGCAGAAACATACACAATTCTTTGCTTTTAAGTAAATATGGGTATATAAGCGCGTATGAACGAAAATAGGCCAAACATGTGCATGTAGCAAATATAATTCGTTTTCTTTTCATCGTTTATTTTGAAGAATTAACGAAAATGCTTTGAGAAATTTCAATGAAATTTTTTTTATCCTGAAGTATGAAGACATTTTTTATAATAAAAAAGATTATGTTGCAAAAATAATGCATCTTTATTTAATTTACTGTTTACTTATGTGTTTACAAACTTTATTTGCTTACACATATATTTGACAGATTTTTGGAACTTTTCATATCGTGTATAAGTTACTGCGTTGTACTGTACATTTTGGAATGCTCCAGAATATTCTAGACTATTATTTCATTGAAGTTTATTCAAGTCATTGGTGAGTATATAATTTAGAATTCTTCAATACGAAATAAACGATAGAAAAAACATGCACATTTATAGCGTATATTCACTTAAAAACAAAGAATTGTATTTGGTACTATCAACAGAGACGGTACCGACATAAATAAGGGGAATGCAAGAGCAAGCATAGAAATAGCTGGCAATTAACAGCTTTACTACCGCTGTTACCGTAACATATATACAAAAAGTCCCAAAGAATCTCCCAGTCCCGATTTTGAATAAAATGTTGGAACATCTGTGTATTTCGTTGTCCCTGCTACTAATTAACAGCGCTACTATTGTTATTGATATTAAAACACCAAAAGTACTTGAGATATTAGTAGGTCGTATTTTGAATACAATGTTCTGACGTTTTGTCATTTAGTTGTCTGTGATACTATACCAACCGTGCATTGCAAAACTTGTGCTTCGTGATTACTTTCTAATTGCTTTTTAGATACGAGGTCATTGTTTCACTCCTTTTAAAGAGGGGACCTGATTGCTAGATTGACTCAATATTTAAAATGTTTTTCCTTCGTTGCCCGGAAAATGACAAAAGTAAAATAAAACTTTTCACAACAGAGGCTTTTTTGCGAACTAAGCTTTTCTTTAAGTAAAACTCGAAATATGAAAAAAATTTGAAAAAAAAATTTGTTATACTTACAACAAGAAATGCCTAAAACACTTTGTTTTAAACACCCATATATTTCCAGAGGTTGATCCTGAGATAATGATAATTTATGCAAAAGCGCATTAGCTTCTTTATTGAAAATTGGAATATATTCATATAAAACTTGACGATTGAAACATGGTTGTATCAGCCGCCGATGCTTTTGCCAACGTGGTGCTGAAAAATATGCAAAGAAAAATATCCAATTGAGGAAAAATGAAAACAAACAAGGAAGGTCTATGCGGCCGGGACCGAATCTTTATCATTTTATCATTTATCTTAAAAATGAGTAAAAAAAAGAGAAAAAGCCTAAATTTCTGCACTCTATAATATTGCATACTCTATGGTATTAGGTGAGAGTAGCTGATTTTGTGCACCGTCCATGTACAAATTTTTATCGTGCATCTATTATGATTCATGACTAATAAGCACAACCCCCGAAAAGAGGGTATGTGTACAATTTATGTTGCAGCGCAGACGTGCGCTTTGATCGGCTTTTGGCTTGTTTTCAATACCAATCTGCTTGCAAGAACCTCCAATGTTTTCAACAAAATTGAAGATGAGAGGTTCAGTTTTGCTGTTAATGAAAAGACAGACATGTTTCCATCAACTCGGAATTTGCCTCTGAGGCTTTCTTTGAGTGTTGCAAGCATTTTGACAAGTTGAATATGCCGTGTTAGGTGTAATAAGATTTCGAACACAATAAACTGCTTCACTTACCACTAGATGTAAACAAACCATCACCTATGACATCACTAACGAAATTGTAGAAGTCGCCTTTATTAAGGCATTGAGTGGTATGAAATACAGTTTCCACAGTTTTTGGATCATTTACGTAAAGAAAACATTTGCCGCCCATCCAAAGAATAAAAGGTGTTTTATAATTTTGCGATAACGTTTCCACAAATTGAAGAAGTTCTGCAATAAAAACAAGCGAAGAAGAAAAAACATATTTTCATAGGTTCCTTGACAAAATACTCACTTTCTGGCTTTAACATACTTAAACCTAAGCCAATGAACGGTAGGCCTAAAGGTCCCGGTAATTGCCAATAAACTTTGTAATATTTACGTCTCGACCAGACGTAATTGAACAAAAGTAGCAGCAGTGTAAAAATTAAAATGATAAATATTGGACTCATCTTCATCAATAGACCGCTTTTATGCGCTGACCACGACAGTTGAAACTTAACTACAATCGATTTCGTTGCAAATTAGTGATAGTACAGGCAATAACTAGAGGTATTTATTCGAAAATTAGGCAATTAATATGCAGGCAGTAGTTATCACTACTTTTACAGTCATCAATACCGATTGAACGTATATATTAGTTTCCTCATTCGTTTTGTAATAACGAGAAATGAGCTTCTAAATCATGTGCATTTAAAAACCATGTAATCAGTGTTATGTGCAAAAGTTCAGTAAAATGCGTCTGCTAGATGTACATGGATGAAAATTCGTATATGTATTGATTAAAATCCACTACCCTGGAGATATTTGTGATTTACACCGATTGTTTTAACTGAGCAGGATTAGAAAGAAATCCAAAGTAAGTAAAACATATACGGTGCATATCGGTATTTTAAATTAGCTCGACTGTACATTTTATTTTTAGAGATTTTCGGGTAAAAATTTCAAAATTGATTTTTAGGCCACAAGTTCAATTGCACATTTCGGAGTTGATAGTAAGCCGTTACTTGCGTCACTTGCCGATCGAAATTGAAATCTCTATAAAATCAATAGTAGAGGAAAGTGATAAAATGGTTTGTTCGCGTCTTTACTGCAGCGTGTATTTACTAGCGAGAGACAACGATATTCGTATGTATGTAGCCTTCAATTAAAAAGCTTTAACTAAAATTTTATTACGATTCATATTAGAGTGTGTATTGGTTTTTGAAACAAATTATTTATTGCGCAATGTCTAAAGAGTGTTCTTAATACTAATTATTTGAGATATTTGTTTTGAATATACACACTTAGGAGTCAACCAAGTGCAGTGATTTTAAAATGTCAAATAGTTAATAGTAATTAGTGAAGCCAATGAACGGAATTAATATATTATAGTTCAACATTGTGTTTTTTTATTATGTATAGATAGATATCTTTTACATAATTAGGCGTTTTTATACGGTAGGCTACTCGTGGTACAAGGATATATTAAGTTTGTTTATCCGGAAAAATTTGAGATAGACACACGTTTTCACTGACAGATTTTCTAAGTTTGTCTGTCCACCTGTCCAACGGCTTGCCTTGTATTCTTGTGTTCAACCTACAGCGCTCAATATTTAAGTTATTTTACTGAAATTTGGCACATCGATGTGTTTCGCCTCAAGAAAGAACCCGATTGAAATTGGGCTCTGTCGGACCACTTTCGCGACAAATTTGTGCATTAAGTTCATGCGGCTGTATGCGCCCCTCGGAAGGATATTCATATCAAGCTATGTTTCATTACACCAATTGACTCAAAATCATTGTTTACGCACATCGATAGGAATGGAAAATGGTTTTGATAATAAAGTTTTAAATAAAAATAATTTTCTATGCTTAATATTAATCACCAAACATCGGTTGGAAATAGAATTTTGATTTACTAGGTGAATACGAAAAATTCAGATAGAATGAAACAATTTTTTGAAAAAAAAGAAAAACTAAGTCTTTACATAGCAAAAAATTTTAATTTTTTGTATTTTATAATCAATATTAGTAAAAAATAAAGGTAAAAAATATAGGTTCAAATCTTGAAGCGGATTGTTACAATTTGATAGACTTAATATTATCCTGCCGTCCGTTTATTAAATTCAACAAATGTTGTAACTGTTATAATTTATTATTAATAAGTTTTATAACAAGTTAATTAATTCTACAATATGTGTGCACACGAGTGTATGTTTAAGTGCGTGCTATTCAAGCCATTTCACAATATTACTATAGAACTCTAGAGCTTTTCATTTTGTGCAATAATTGCTTGTTTGTCATAATTAAAATAATAACAATTTTTTACAAAAAAGGGTAAACAAATTAATAAATAATTTTCAGCATAATAAGCTTGCCATGCAAATAATCAGTAAAATGGCTTCATTGAGAAATTAATCTACTGAGTGTGGCAGTTCATTATGAGACTTACAGAGCAGCAGACTGGCCGTTAAACGAATTATGAGAAAGAATTTTATTCGTAAAATATATTGAAAGGCCAGTTTACGTTAAGCTGTTGGCACTTGATATTTTAATTTTTTTTTTTTAAATAGAATAATTAAGTCATTTGATATACTCGTAATAATGCATTAATATTCGCATTGCTTATATCACAATTAAAAATACGCATGAAAGAATATATGAAAAACAAGAATTTTGAAGCCAATAAAGTCCTGTCTGATTTCTGTTCCTCCCCATTCTCGCCGCATATATGCCTACATGACGTGCTTTTACGAATCGTCATAAGCAAGCCAAATGAACGTATTAGTACAAAAAAAAACAAGAAAAAGTAAATAAATAAATAAATGAATTGATTAATGATGATAATATTGTTACGGAAATCCCAAATCTAGTTGATTCCAGCTAAGTCATTTTCCCAAATAATAAATTCCTTATAGAGAAAAGAAACCAAATGCACATTCGCGAGGCGTCATGCAGCTGCAGATCGATGAAAGCGATTAACGGAAAGTAGCCAGGTAAAAAAGTAGAAGAAAAAGAATATTTGAGTTAAGCAGTCGAAAGTATTGTCAAAAATGAATTGTAAATAATCCTACATTTAAAGAAATATAACTGTAATTGAAATGAACTTCGAAGTGTATTTCTCTTGAACAAAATATCCACGGTCCAGTGATACGGACTGTATCTGTAAAAGCGAATTTCATAACAATATAAACGAAATGATAATGACAAACGAAAAAATTCTTTTAAATAAACATTTATTTTAACGAATTAAAATGTTGTACATATCTTTATTCCGGAGATTACACATAAAAGCTTCATGTGCGCAAGGTATTAATTGGAAAAAAATTCGACTTCTTTGGAAAAAGGGCGAAGAGGGCTTTTCAATGACCCATAAATTCTCTCAGCAAGAGAACGACTAGTCAGATATGTCTAAAGAGATTCTGTTGTTTAGTTTGACTAACAATATGAAGTCTTCGGCAAGTATATCTATAAGTTAGACATAGACATGTATACAGCAAACACATTGCCAGTGTCAATATTTACTGTCATTCGTTGTAAAACCTTTCCTCGTTGATTGGTTTAAATATAAGCTAGTGTGGAGAAGAGTACTGGAGCTGCAAAAATCTTACAGAAGTTTTGGAAGCAAAGGAAGTGATTCCAAAACAGTCAAAAGAATGATCGGTATGTGCAAATGACGAACTACAAGCGATGATAGGTAGGTAGATGATTCAAAGCAGAAACAAGGCCGCGTTTCATATTATTATAATAAAATGTTCATAAAGAACCAATTATGAAATCTTCAAGATTATAGGCGAATGTTATTGTATATATGGGATTTTCAGTCTTAATACACTACGCATAGCTGAGTTTCTAAAAGTGGGTGGAATATATATTCGGCTTTTTCCTTGAAGTCAATCGTAAACTACGGTTATGTGAGCATTCGTTGCTCATCATCCATCAGGATGTAACATCCTTCGCAATAGGTAGGAAATGGAAAACTTGCTGCATTTGGCTTTTTTCCATAGCATTCTCGTCTTGTGCAAAGATATCGAAAACTGTGTTGTGACGCATCATTGGGATAATGCATACATATAGTGCCTTCAAATGCAGATCTGAAAGTTTATCAAATGTTCAAAAGTAGAAAGAGCGCAAGAATATGTTTGCACACCTTACAGTTCAACCAATCGGACAATGAATTAATTTGAAATCAATATATGTTATGTTGGGCGTAATATATCCTTTTATCGTATTTCCTTTTATCTTTTGTACCCAATGTGTACGCAATCCCCAGATAAGCCATTGGCAAAGTCCAGACTGAGGTAAACATTCAAGATTCATTCCAAGGCGTGCCCAAGCACTTCTAATTGAAGACATACTTAAGGTTGAAGTAGCTGGTTTTATAATGAATTTAATACATTGAAATTGCATTATATGCTTTTGTTGTATAAAAACTTTTTTTTGTAGTTTTCTATTCTAAAATATGTTTAATCCCTACAAAAACGTGATTAGTTTTCAAATTATTATCTGCTAAATGTATATTTGCTGTTTACAAGAACAGCATGTTAAACGCCGACAGGTGTATACGTGTTGCATGGTAGGGGTTGAGTTTAAAAAAATTTTGTTTTGTCGTGTTGCTTTTACCCACTTTGCTAAATAACGAGATACCACATTACATTTGAATGCTGGCCCATAAGCTGCCGCAATTAGGTTTACCTCGACTGCATATCTTGTGTTGAGTTGTGTTGGAAATGTACATCCAATGTATTGTAATTTTCACACTAAAGTAAAAGAATAAAATTTGATATAAAAATTTATTCGAAGAAAATTCTTATCTATTACTGATTAGATAATTTTGGTTACTTCCATCAAGCGAAGTGTACTTTTAATTTTTGGAAAACTTCTCGATAAAGGAGTTGTATAAAATTTTGCTACAAAGATTGAAATTCGGCCTCCGAAATATTGAAAAAAACTTGTAAAGGGAATGCACCTCCTTTACGGAGTACGTTACGTCTTTAGACTGTTGCCAGGTATTCAAAGAAGGTCCATCTACCGATGAATGTCACACCAATTAAGTCAAAAATTTCGTAATAAAAAATCGCCTATCGATGACAAAAATCGTCTCATATCCTTACAGGGTGTTGGTTTCTTAAGTCTATCAACGAGAATTCAACTTAAGTCCGCAAACATCGATATAACTTTTGACTCTCGAGATAAAATAAATTCACTACGTGGAGATCATTTTGAACTGCTTGAAGAGCTGAAGACGAAACCAAAACTGCACTCTATCAATCACCGATATTGCTGTAAAATTTGCTGCAGATATTAGCTAAGGTGCTGTTAATTTAAAAAGGAGAAAAATACTTCTTTCAAAAAAGCCTGTGCGATTAAACTATTAAAAGCCTTGACCATCCCTATGTCATGCCCTTGCTTAAATAAAAGGCATTCGCTGTTTACTTTCGCTTCACTTCCAACAATTGTCGGTTATATT